GCCAGAGTGGGGAGGGCGTTGGCAACGTTGTAAAAGTGGTTAGAGAAAGTATTTGACGGCACCCAGACAAGACCCATATTTTACCACGCCCCTGGGGGCGCGTGAGCGAGCCTTGTCGATCTTCATTAGTCACGGGCTGCTGGAGTGGGGTCGCGGTGACCCCGACATGTAGGGACCACGTAGCGCCCCCTTCCCAGCGCTTCACCGGGTGGAGGAATGGAGGTTTGCGCGATTCACCTCACATATTCTTGGTTCTAAACTCCATATCACTACATAGTTTCCAATCACTACCCTAACATATATTTTAATACCACTACCCTACCTCATTTTTTCATATCACTACCTTACCACATATTTTAACATAAATTATATTCATGTCAGAGGCGTATCCAGGTTTTGGTTGTAGGGGGAGCGGAAATAGCAAAAAAAGGCGCCGAATTTGTAATATTTTCTATATAAGTATATATATATATATATATATATATATATATATATATATATATATATATATATATATTAGCTGTATGTTATTGCTTCGATATGATGTAAAATAAATTTAAAGTAGCACTCTGAAGAAATAAAAAAAAAAACACAATGTAGGCCGACGAAACAAAAAAAATGGTATCACTCTAAACAATATATATATATATATATATATATATATATATATATATATATATATATATATATATATATATATATATATATATATATATATTTATTTATTTATTTATTTATTTATAAACACACTACAACCAAAAACAATGAACGCGGCATAATCTGTTTCGTAATTCTTGTAAAAAAATTACATAATAATTCGTGGGACATCTATTAAGACTAGCGAAAGGGGGAAATAATCAACATCTTAATATAAATATGTATATGTCTACACATTTTATTATAAATATCAAAATAAATCAATAATTACTTTAGATTTTAATAAAGTAGTTTAACACTATTCGATTTTACAAATATAATTTGTCTACGATCAGAATTAAATATATTGTCATTATAAATGCTAAAGTATTACAGCATAATGAAAGTTTTTAAAATCAGAGTTGGTATAAAAGCCAGCTTTTCAATGTAGATATAAAACATTCGTAATAATAGCCTACATATAACTAAAATATCGGTCTTACATTTCAGATCATGCACTTTTTAATTAGCTACTGACTTTTTGTGTTCTTTAAAGATAATTTTTTAACATAATGAGAAGGTATGGGTTAGATCACTGTATTGCTCACACACCTTTTACTGGTAATTGCAAAAACAATATTCACAGAGATTTACGTTTCAAATGTGCCGACCAAAGATATTTTTTTAACAAATATCAATGTTTAAAACTTTGAGTTTAAAATGTTTCCAAAAAGGCGCCACTTGGCTAAAAATGGACAGAGGGGGAGCGGCCGCTCCCCCTGCTCCCCCCCCTGCGTACGCTACTGATTCATGTCTAATTTGATCTTACAACAAACTATCAAGTCATTCAATTGTTGAATTTGGAGGAAACGAATTGATTGCTTATTATTTTAACATTTCATTTTTTTAAAGATAAAATTTAAAAAAAAAAAACAGTTACGGAATTGTAATAATAAAATAACACTAACAAACATGTAACTCTTCGTTTGACACAACAAAACACTGCTGGCATCAGAGTTATTTCCCATTCGTATAAAGTACTAACAAAACTCGTATGGTAAACAAATGTTGAATAGCTCAGTGGGGTGCTATAAAAAAAACAAGTGTAAATGCTGTGTGAAGGTGTCCTGCTCCGTCCTGTCTTGTAGGACAGGCCAGGCTGAGGAAAACACCAACTCTGTTTACCAGCAGTCAAGGACTAGAGTTGTGAACCTTTCAAATTTTTATTGATTCGGTGCTATTTTTAGTCAATGTCACATCCTCAAGGTTACGTGCACGACAGCACGTGTTTGTTCCCCGGGAGTAGTGAGTACCAGGGGCTTTGTCTCGATATATGGGGTTTTGTACCGGTTGGGTTTTTGTACCGGTTGGGTTTTTGTACCGGTTGGGTTTTTGTACCGGTTTTTGTACCGGTTTTTGTACCGGTTGGGTTTTTGTACCGGTTGGGTTTTTGTACCGGCTGTACCGGTTGGGTTTTTGTACCGGTTGGGTTTTTGTACCGTTTGGGTCATGGGTTTTTGTACCGGTTCATGCATGGATCTTATATGAGAATGTGTACCCGTTTGGTACAAGATGCTTTTTTAAGCGCTGGTACATTGGCTTTTACATGGGGTTTTGTACCAATTTAGTACTGAGGTTTTGGCCTAGACAAATTGTTTGCGGTGTTCCAATTGTGTTTTCTTTTTATTTCTATATGTTCTGTGTTGTAAATAGAAACATTCCAAAACAAACTGATAAAATAATATGCACACTTTATAAAGTACATTACAAAGTACATTACCACAACAAGCGACTGAATATAAGTGATTTAATTTTTTTTTTTTCTGCATTAAAAAAAAGGGGGGCAGCACCTGTGTGTGGCCATGAGGACGAGTTGCCTTTCTTTGTCCCCAGCAAAACGGCCTCTGACAACCGCGTCAACTTCCGGTATTTTTAAAAATATAAACTCGAGGCTGCCCTGCCCACTTCGCCCAGAACTCACCCTGACGCGCATTATTCATCGTTGGAGGTCATGACCTGGTCATTCGGCGTCCTTGAGTCTGATTATTTTTATTGGGCGTTAATTCTGTGCCCCCCCCCCTTTTTTTCTCTCACCCTTCCATACTCCGCTTAAAAAAATATTCTTTAAAAAAGAACACTAATTTTTTTAAAGGCTTTGCAGACCCAAACACAAAACTAATGGCCAGATTTTTCTAAAAATGTAAGCCATATATTTTTGATCGCGTTTCTATTTTAAATCCAATCCTCCTTGTCTGTATTAAATTGCCTTAAAATCGAAACGAATGAATTTAATTACAAAGAACTGGCATTCTAATGTTACATGTGTCCTACTAGTATCTAGCTCAGCTCCCCCCCCCCCCCCCCACACCTACCCATCAGCTGTTGTAAGCGAGATATTGATTGAAAGAGAAGAAAAGGGGAGGGAGGGGTTCCCGGTAGATATAAAAAAAAAAGTAAAGCTAAATCAGAAATACGGAGCCCTAGTGACCTGAATTTGAGATTTAATTTTAACAAAGAAAGGAAAAACGTAATACAAAAATATTTTTTTAAAAAGACAGGGCGTAAAGTAGAGTTAGGCAGACAGGAGAGGTGGCTGGCCTTGGTCTTACATTCTTATTAATTTTTCGGAACAGTAAGCTCATTACAGACATCTGCGGAATAAGGGGGGGGGGTATGTGGTGGAAGGGGTGGAGAGTGAGGTTGAGGGGTATTTTTAATGAAAATTTAAAAGTTAAAAGAAAAAACTTGACGAATATATCAAGGCCGTGAGCTACATCATTTGGAGAGCAAGCTGCTATTATGGGGGGGGGGAGGGGGGTATTGGGATATTACAGGGTAATAATTGGGAGGTTCTCGTATGTTACATGGGTATGGGGAGGTCTTATGTTACAGGGTATATGTGGGTGGGGGTGTCATATGGACGTGAAGAGATATGTTTGCAATGAGATCACAGGTCTACTGCTGGGGCGTAGAGAGGCTTTGTGGTGTTCACACCAAGCTTAGTTGCATGTTGCTTAGATAAGAGACGATGCCGGCTTGTTATAGAAGGTGTAGTGGCTTTAGGCGATGCAGGCTTGTTATAGAAGGTGTAGTGGCATTAGACGATGCCGGCTTGTTATAGAAGGTGTAGTGGCTTTAGGCGATGCAGGCTTGTTATAGAAGGTGTAGAGTGGCATTAGACGATGCAGGCTTGTTATAGAAGGTGTAGTGGCTTTAGGCGATGCAGGCTTGTTATAGAAGGTGTAGAGTGGTATTAGACGATGCAGGCTTGTTATAGAAGGTGTAGAGTGGCATTAGACGATGTAGGCTTGTTATAGAAGGTGTAGTGGCTTTATGCGATGCAGGCTTGTTATAGAAGGTGTAGAGTGGCATTAGACGATGCAGGCTGGTTATAGAAGGTGTAGTGGCATTAGACGATGCAGGTTTGTTATAGAAGGTGTAGTGGCATTAGACGATGCAGGTTTGTTATAGAAGGTGTAGAGTGGCATTAGGCGATGCAGGTTTTTTTATAGAAGGTGTAGTGGCTTTAGGCGATGCAGGCTTGTTATAGAAGGTGTAGTGGCATTAGACGATGCAAGCTTGTTGTAGAAGGCGTAGTGGCATTAGACGATGCAAGCTTGTTATAAAGGTGTAGTGGCTTTAGGCGATGCAGGTTTTTTATAGAAGGTGTAGTGGCTTTAGGCGATGCAGGCTTGTTATAGAAGGTGTCGTGGCATTAGACGATGCATGCTTGGTATAGAAGGCGTAGTGGCATTAGACGATCCAGGCTTGTTATAGAAGGTGTAGTTACATGACCATGAGATAGACGTGCTTCGGTGGAGATGTTTGAAAACTATGCAGCTAAACATACTAAACATACACATACAGCAACCTATACCAATGCGTGATGTTGCAGCCTACTGTTAGACTCTAGTTTCGAGAGATGTGTTTAGTTGTGTTTCAAAAATTACTATGAAATCAGCAGTAGGCCGCCTATCGCTAGAGATAAACAACAGCTCTGCAGTGTGTATTTGTTGGACTTAGATGTAAGCTAGCTGTATGAGTAAAAATCTCACCACCATAATTTACATTAAATGTTTAATGTTCTGTAACAGGTAATCAGTGTTAAAGATACGGAATTTACAATACAACATATTTTAAGAGGGGGGAAAGAAAAAACTTAAGCAAGTTAAGCTCACTATTTGGGAAAGAAAAGAGTGAAATGTTTATTTTTTTTCCGGCCGGTGAAAAGAGAGACCTCGACCTACAAACCCGAACGATGTAAACACCACCTCATTAACATAAACCAGAATGAGGATTTTACAAGGTCATAACTGTTTCGCCAATCGAATTCGCTGCAAACAGGCACGGGCAAAACAAGCCAATGAGAACCGCGCTTACATTTAACCAACGCAAGCCCGCGACGGACACACCTCCCAGAATCAAAACACGCACTCCGTAGTGAGACCGGCTTCAACTTAGTAGTTCGAAGTTATAGCTGTTACTGAGCGTTTATACTGTTGTTTTATGTAAGTCTATTATTTTCAAAAGACTGTTGTTTTACAACTACATCGTTTAGTGTTACGATGCCTAATGTAAAGCACCAGAAAGGCCATCGTAATGGCCACGAAGAAGTACCAAACATTGTTCCGAACGGAAATGTGCAAGTAAACAACCATCGTATGGAACACCAAAATAACAATGATGGTGAAAACGGTGCAGCAAGACTACAGAATTGTTGTGTTCCAACTGGATGTAATGATGATCCAATAGACCCATCAGATCCTTACGATGCTGTTAGAGTAGTTTGCAACAATGATGCCTGCACTGTAGGAAACTGGATGCACAAAAATTGCTTCATCGAGTGGGAAGAATCTGTGCTTTCCTTTCTAAGATCGTGCGGCCGTGCACGCAGTTGGAGTGAAAAGCAGAGATTGCAAAATTTATGGACTAAAAAAGGCTATGATCTTGCTTACAAAGCATGTGATTGTAAGTGTGGCAGAGGGCATTTACGCAAAGATTTAGATTACTTCCCAGCGCCCTTCAATGAAAACGCCAAGAAAGTGAGAAAGAACAAAAAGAAAAACGACAAGCCCATGCCAGTGGTGAGTACCAACCACAAAGCTGGTCATAATTCCAACCACCCGCCTCTTCTAACCCATCCAGTGGATAACCACAGCCATATACTTCCTGCCATCCATAAAGTGGATAACGCTACTAAAATCTTAAAGAAAGAGTCGGTGAATGTAAACACAAGGCGCCGCGGCAGTGACAACACCATCAACAACAACCCCAGCTCTGATACTAAAGCCAGGAGCAGGAACAACAGCTCCGATCACCTTGACAACGGGAATGAAAACGAAGTTAACGACAACACGTCTCACCATGTCACCAACATGGCTTTCACTTCCACCCCTTTGATCATGCCGAGCAACAGCCTCCGAATGCGTACCAACAGCGTAAGCAGCACGGGAAGTGTGGGTAGCCAGGCAAGTAGCAGTGGTAGCATACCTAGCTCTGCTGGCTCCATATCCCCACTGTCCAGCTCTCCGGTCAGCGGGAACGTCTTCTTCAAAGGTAAAAAAGTTGAAACCTTTGACCCCAGTCAACCCGGGATGTTCCGCCGTCGCCAGGACTTCTCTGCCTTTAATGTGCTACCCAGGTACAAGAGGAACCCCTACAACATCCACATTGAGGACGTGCAGGAGGACGAAGACACTCGCAACTTTGTCCTCAGCAACCTGACCAACAAGCGGATGACCGCCCTACGCTGTGTGCTGTGCAAGACCCAGCTCCCAGTGTTTGACCGTTTCCCCCTGGTGGACGGGACCATGTTCCTGTCACCCCAGGCCTACGACCAGCACGTTGTTCAGGTCATCTGGGAGGGGAGGATACAGTTCCTCAATGCTGTCTGCATCGGTTGCCTGGAGGGGAGATGTGAAGCTAAGTGTTCCTCCTGTAAAACCCCATGGGATGGATCGTCGTTCGTCGTGGGAACAATGTATACCTATGATATTTTTGCTGCCATGCCGTGTTGCCAGAAAAGGCTAACATGCAAGCACTGCCGCCGCGCTGTCATAGATGTGTCCATTGGCCTAGACTTCTACAGCCAGTACAGCCGAATGATTATATGTCCTTATTGTAAGGCGAATGACTATCACTTCATCAGGTCCCTCGCTGATACCTTCAGCGTTAAGGATCCTATATGTGGCCAGTGCTAGGCAAGAACTTCCATGATCCCTAGTCTCAGCCTCGTCCTAACTCTATCATGTTGCAGCCATTTCATTGTATTGTTGGTAACATTTGATTGCATTTCAAACATGTTCGCGTTACTCACAAACTTTTCTAGACATTGGATTTGCTTGCTCTTTTTAAAAACAAAACTGGTACCTTAAGAAGTGGACATTATTTTTATATACATATATATCTTGTGTATTGCTTGTGTGGTTGCAGTTGTGTAATATTCAACTTGGATTGGGTTGCCTCTGAGGAATTCATGGATGCCTTAGAATGAAGGAAGTATAAAATGTAAGATAGTTTGATATATCGTACCTTTTCTTGTCGTTAAATTGAATTTATTGGAAATAATTATATACATAATTATATATAGAACTACATTTATTTTCATAAATGTGCATGTTTTATTTTTCAATCATATTTCCTAATTGTAAAAAAAAGAAAAGGCTGTTCTGTTCAAAAGTAAACCTGCACTTGCTAGCCTGATAAATATGTATTGTAGCTACAGCGGTATACCATACTTTTTGTTTATTATGAGTTGGCTAGCCCTACCGCCTTTCCCCCGGCCAGTAGATGCAAGCACATTTTTAAAAATTATGCAAATAATCTGAGTATTTTAAGTGCTTCTTAAAAACTTAAGTACTGTATTAATAAAAATGGACCATAGGCTATCAGATCTATCATAAATTAAAACTAAATTTTAAAAAAAACTATTTCTATACTATGTATGCAACTAGTCTGAATATACGATAACAAAACAGAATCGGGGAAAGGTCAAGGTTAGTCACAGCGTCTGCCGTGTACATAAGTTTGCAAAGTTAGGGCCTAGCTTGGTATTATTAATCATGTTGTTAATTTTCAATGATCTAAAATTGCTACATTTCAATTTCTTAGGTCTAGATCTAGATTCATGGGCAGACAAAGTAGATCTATATTTTATGAGTTAGATCTATAAACATAGAATCTAGATATCTAGATCCAAAATCTAGACTATTCTAGATCTAGATTTCTAGATTCTATTAGATCTAGAGAGATCTAGATTCTAATGACCTGACGAGTGCTAGAATCTAGATGAGTCTTAAGTAGAGCCTAGATCTATCTAGATCTAGATTTCTAGATCTAGCAGTAGTGTAGCAAGATAAGAAAAAAAAGGGGGAAAAAAATACTAAAAAACTACTAAAATTAGTTTTATTCTCATGAAACTAGATCTAGAATGTATATTCTATTTCCAAGTCTAATAAAATAATTTTTACTCTAGATCTAGACTCTAGGTCTATTGTTAAAATAATAATACATATCTAGGCCTAATAATTCACTAATAAACCCTACAAATACCAAGAATAATACAGTGTAATACAGTAATAGATCTAGAATGCATTTAGTAGTTGATTGTCAGTTCTAAATCTGATTACCTTTTAAAACGATAGGGAGATATCAGATATTGCTTGTTTACGCTAGCTAGACTATAATAAATCCTTGTCGAAAGACCAGGTTTGGTTCTAGAGTCTAGTTCTCATGGCAGCTTGTACCATTGTCTGTGTGTACATTGTTTTGTATTGAATTTGAAAACAGTTTTTTTTTTAGTTATAGAAAGTCTAGTAAGTTATTTTATTTTACTAGATCTACGTATTTAGTTTACTCCTTGCGGTAACATAGCCATTACAAGATCTAATTCTGTCTACCAAAATAAAAATAGCTTCTTCACTTGGATTTTAAATTAGGACATCGCTTCTGGGCTAGACCTAAATCTGGACTTGTTTCAATGTTTGATTAATACTTCCCTAAACCTTGTTTACAATGCTAACACTGGCTAACAGCATTTTTATTTTATTTGTTTAAAATTTCATTGGTAGATTTACAACCTCAAGAAGATTATTGTAGTGTAGTTCAGTAAGTTTTGCTAAGTTTCAATAAGTTCGTTTTGTTAATTAGATCTATTTATGCGATTTTTTTCCTGTAGATCTATTCTAGATCCAATTGACTTAAGTAAAATTTTGTTTAATAATGAAGAAAGAAAATGACACCCCTGGATGTTAATTTAGTATTGAAGTCTATTGGCCTGTGCATTTTCAGTCTTAACCACCATTAATGCCGGTTGATGAAGTGGAGGTAACTAGGTCAAGGTCACTAGTTGTTATGGTCAGTTATTTTAATGGTTTTGTGTTATGTGCTTTGGAAAGAATGAATTGCTTTAGGTTTATGTCTTGGTCTGTAAGCATAAAGTGCACTAGTCAATGGGAGTTGTTACATCATCCATTTGGTTTTCTTTTTAAATTTCACCCCATTTTACAATGATTGGATAATTGTTTCCCATGCCTTAAGACTGTGTATGTGCACCATTGTCTTTCCTTTTTTTTTGTTTACATGCACCACAATTATTACAACTGTACTACCTCCATTTTTATTCTCCTGGCTATTCAACTTTAGGAAACACAAACTGAAAAAAAAAAAATTTCATTCGATTCTCTTTCTGAATGTTTCTAAGCTTTTTTTTTTTTTTAAAAAACAAAAACAAAGTAAAAACTGAAATTATTTTATGATGAAAGATAAAAGTCAGTTGAATCATGGAATGGCTACCATTTCTGTGAATACAGTTTAGTCCTGATTTGAAATTTATACTTTTCTGTATTTCAATTGTCTTGGCTGTTTTTGATGGGAAAAATTAATGTGAAAGAATAAGGCATGAGTTATCTAACATTGGCAACATTGTCAAGGGGTTAAGTTAAAGCAGAATGTTTTATCAAGGATCTAGACTGAGAATTGGCTAGACTGCACTGCACCAGTTGTTTTTTTTTTTAAGACTTTTTTTCTCATGTTTTAAATAGTATGTTCATTTACTCATTACAGTATGCAAAATGTGTACATTATAATTTGTCAGTATATGAACAGATACTACTGAAAATATCAGACACGTTTTCTGTAACATTGAGTATTCTGTTGTTTTTCATACTTTCTCTTTGGAGTAATACTTTTTATTTGACACACTCACACCAGAAGGTAGTTTGTCAAATGGTTTAGTTTAATATAAACAGTTACCAAGTTGGGTGTTTCCCTTAAGGTTACCAATCATTTCTTGTATCCATGTAATGTTATACTTTTATCAACCATTATGTTTTTGCAAAGTGTAGCAATTAAATGTATTATTTTATTTGCTTTTTTAAAAAATGGCAACAAGATGCCAGTGGTATGGTTGCAAGAAGTGGCTGTACTATGGCTCTGTATGTCATTATCAGAGAGTAATACACTACGTATATAAACCAACTCATATCAAAATCTTGTACGGGCTGTCTGCTTCTATACCATGCGATTTATTTTCCATGTAAATAAAGATTGTTTTCTCAAATATTATCAAATTGTTGTAGATTGGCTTTACTGTTTTTGTTTTGTGATTGCTGTGATAGTTGCTTTTGTTGAGTACACAATGGTTGTGATTGTTGTGATAGTTGCTTTTGTTGAGTACAAAATGGTAGCTGTCTTTGGGGCTTGGGAGATGGTAGTGTTAACTATAATAACTTGTACATTTGCTACATGTTAGCTCTATTGGCATCTGTTAAAATTTTTGTTTGAGCATTGACATTTAAGTAAAGCAATGCAGGCATTATACCAAATCTCTGCTGTGGACAAGCATAATACTCAACATTTGCTAATAATACACAACATTGGTCAATCATGTGGTAGGGACCAACATTTACACATGCCTGTTTATAATTCAATGTACACTATCCATACAATTTTACTGCTGGACCTGCCCCTCATTATGTATGTCTGCACTATATGTTAACAGAAGACATTGTTATTTTAAGACAGTTATTTTTGTCTAATTTTAGGAGATCCCTGCCTTTTTAACATCATATAAATAATATTCATTTTGCAATACACGAAGCTCCAATAACGTTATTTTCTTTCAAAATTTTAACAAACTCGGCAATTAAATAATCCCATTAATATTTTTATTTTCAAAACATTTTCACCCACCTCTAGTGGAATTTTTTTTTAGTTTTATTACAAGCAAGCAGTTTCAAAAACATCTCTCACAACACAGTAGTCGTGAGGGTCGGGCCAGTCGGATGTAAACAGCTCAGTGGGGGAGGGGGAAGAACGGTTCTGCTAGCTCATATTCCAGTATCGATTCCTTTAAATAAAATATTTGTTGCGTTACTTTATAATAACTCAAAAATTGCGCATTGGGTATTTTATTTTCTAGAACTCGGTTAAAGTAATTTAATATGCAAGTTATACAGGCATGGGTCATTGACTTAGTTGTTTATGAAAACACAATAACGGCGTAGGCAGGTTAATAGTCGAATGACAATTGTAACAGGCTTAGAACTGATGGCTATTATTTTAACAACTCCCACCTCTACGTCACACCTGGTCAGTAACGACAGGACCCCTGCTAATATGACGTCATGCGTGTAATGAAACGAACTTGTTCAGAATACACCATAGCTCTAGCGCCCTGCTGTGCTATAAATATGAATTTTACAGCACTTATTTTTTTTTTAAAAATACGGATTGAATAAACAGCTCACACAAGATGGCGTTATATGATATGACGTCATGAGTTTCTGTCACGTCACGTGGTTCTGTAATTGAAAACAGCACGCTGTGTTGGCGTTGTTTACAAATAAGCCCCATCCCTCTGGCCAAGCATATTTTTGTTTTTCTTGCACTAACATTGCTTGCCTGGCTAAATAAAATCCTATTTTCACAGTACTCTTCGGGAGGTAGGGCATAGGCTGTAGCATGCCATGAGTAATGTGCAGTTGTTTTGGCAGAAAGTCAAGTGGGACATTTTTTCCTTCAGGGATTCTCGACATTTCTCCACAGGCGACCCCATTTAATTTTGTTTTGTTTACATGAACTATGCACATGACATCATTTTGTATTTACTTAAACCTTATATTTTGTCTCATCAATGCTTGTATGTGCGATCAAAATGGGGTCTCACTCCACAGTTTTAGAGCACTGGAAACAGCCAAATCAACAACGCGCGGACATTTTGTGGAATGTTATCAAACCGGCTGCCATACTAAAAAAAAAGCAACATGTCTGCTTACACGCGTGTCAAGTTGTGTGTCGCATTTATTATGGTGAATTATTCAGTACCTGGAGTTTTTGAACCGTTTCTTATACTCTTGGTGGCCCGGGAAAATTACGTACACACAAACATACACAAACATCTAGAAGCTCATAATGTCATATCTTCAAAACACTGAAACAAATTCAAATGTTGTTTTATACATGTTTCGAATGGTTAGGATGTCTGTGACTGCGATGGTGTAGGTCATGACGATTGTGTATAGGTCAGGATGTCTATGTGTGGGTGTAGGTCAGGATGTCTATGTGTGGTTGTAGGTCAGGATGTCTATGTGTGGGTGTAGGTCAGGATGTGTGGGTGCAGGTCAGGATGTCTATGTGTGGGTGGAGGTCAGGATGTCTATGTGTGGGTGTAGGTCAGGATGTCTATGTGTGGGTGGAGGTCAGGATGTCTATGTGTGGGTGTAGGTCAGGATGTGTGGGTGTAGGTCAGGATGTCTATGTGTGGGTGGAGGTCAGGATGTCTATGTGTGGGTGTAGGTCAGGATGTGTGGGTGGAGGTCAGGATGTCTATGTGTGGGTGTAGGTCAGGATGTGTGGGTGGAGGTCAGGATGTCTATGTGTGGGTGTAGGTCAGGATGTGTGGGTGTAGGTCAGG